AAAAAAAAAAAAAAAAAAGAGGGATACAAGTCAAATAGCCTTAAACAGCAGCCACAGGAGAATTAGGGAAAAGTAGGTGTGAGGAGAGAGAAGTCCTTGCTATGGTTCCTTTGTGCTGCCCACTGACCCTGTTCTCTGCTGAGGACGCCTGAGTCATTTCTAGGATTCAGGACTCCATGTGCTGTGAGCATCCAAGCAGACTGTAGTATCCAGCCTTTTCCAACAGGCATTCTCTCCCCTCCTCAAACGCATGGCTCCTACTTTGGGAATTACCTTAGGACGCTCTTCCTGTAAATGCCGAACTCTGCCTCATGGCCTCATTCATCCATCCATGTGTACTGGAGACCCTTAGAGAGCTGAAACTCTTCCACATGCGATCTCTTTCATCCATTGAATAAAGACATTGGTCTTGCATTCCAGTGTCTTTTCCAGGCCAAACACCACTACTTCCTGCAAACATTCCTTGTCACCATCACCTTACCATGACTATTCCAATTTTCCTTACTTTCACTTGAAATTCTGGGCCAGGAATCACCATGACTCCCTCACAGTGCTAAATGAACAAACAGTAGAAAGAAACTTGCCCTGTTGGACTGGGCATTATATTACATTTTTGTCTTCTAGTAAAAAAGTAGTAGATAAGTTCTGGGCCCCAGAGAGTAACAATTCCATTGGCTAAATCACTGAGTTCTGGGTACTGCACGTTAACATGGAAACATGCCAGGACCCAAAGGAAAGTAACTATTTAAAATAAAAAAAAAAAGAGCGGATTCAGAGAATATCTGTATTTTCTTACTTACAAGCTGTACAGCTCCGATAACAATTGTCCACTCGACGATTGACAGAACCTCAGGGGTTCCGTTTTCTGTTCTGAGAATACACAGATGACGGTTGCTGTTTAATATTTCCTTTGATTGGCCTTTCTCACCAAGAGACAACTACATTAGTGATCAAACATGGCTTTTTCTTTTTTGTTTTGTCTTTATGCACACACACAATTCAAGTTTTGGCTGCTGGCTTATGGCTTTTTTGAGCAATAGGATGGGAGCGGAATAGGCCAGGAAACAAGTAAACTAACGGTCAAAGAAGAGCACCACACCAAGGGTCCTGGCCTCCGCATAATGTAGGATTTCCTCACTGTGTGCATTATAAGGGTGATGATGTTATAGGTACAGCCATTCCAAGGTCCATCTGCATTTTAAATTCACTCCTAGTAGAGTGCGTTTTTATACTGCACCGTGTAGAGCTGAAGTACGTTCACAGAGCTACTGGATGCAGTCGGTGCCTTGTCCACATCTTATTTCCATGTTGGTGCTGTGACTCTGAGCAACTGATGGCTCATACCTGCCTCTTTATTTTTTCCAGAGAGTTGTCTTTGGCCAAATGAGATGCTCTTTGCCTGCAGTGCCACACCTGCACTGCCTGGGGGTAGCTATGGCCACTGCTTGGTGACAGAAAGGTACACTGCTAGGCCCCTGTCCAGTGCAGGCTTACTCCGTGGATCAGTCTGAAGTGACCCCAGCTGAGCCCGCATCTTTTCTCAGCACCTTCCCTGCTCACCCTTGCCTCTAGGACCCTCCTTCTCCTGAGGGCATCCCACAGTCAGCCACTTCTACAAGATACCCGTCTCAGGCCCTGCATCTGGTGATTCTTAGTAAGACAGTGCCATTATGATTTTCCGCGGTGGTTGCCATTTGGGCAGTGATGAAAGAGATTGATTCTTTGCGCAGCAATTTATAAGAAAACTTGACATTTTCAGTGATGAAACCTGGCCGTTTTGCTAAATATCTGTTTACAGAATATGCTGTGCCTGCTAAGTGGTCTTCAACTAAAAACACTTGGTTAACGTAAAAATGGTTTGGGAGACAAGGCAGCTGGCCACAGACAGAAGAATGGAAAGATCTCCTTAGTTCATAGAGTAGACCCAGATACTGAGTTAGTTACATGGATAGCATATGCTGACTTGTCGAAGTCAGAAATTTCAATGAGAAGCAGATTCACACACAGACCCAGTGCTTTCTTGAAATGAGTCACTGCAGACAATTCAGTGTGAAGATAGAATGCCATAGATGGAGTACGTTTGGGCAAAGCACAGAGAAGATGAGCCCTCCCACCCTTATCGTTGTCCAAGCTTAAGGAAGGTAAGGGAAGTGACTCTTCTTGATGAAGGACATGCACTCATCCACACAGTAGGAGAGGTGGTTCAGATTTCACCCAAGGCTCAGGCATGGGTCCTGCTGCCCCTAAGGTAGGGCCTTCAACACTGGAGCTCCAAGTACACTTGACTGCCTACTTCTCTCACATCTCCATGGAAACCTGGGTTGATGATCTTTGGCTTGCATAGGTGGCCAGATCTTTTGGGAAGAAGTAGCCCAAAGAGGTGATTGCAAAGAGGAGCAAGGCCCTGTAGGTTCAGGTTAGTTGTGGGGTGAGCTTCAGTGCCTGTTTCACTTGAGGAACCGGGAAGACAGGTCAGTGGGAAGGGGGTGGTGGTGGTTTGGTTGTCAAGTCCAAAGAGGACAGTTGGCAATGGGGAGCTAAGGAAATCAAAGCTGGGTAGGTGGTGAATGAGGGTGGCATTTGGTTAGTTTTCATTGGTCACTGATCTTATGGTGACCTCTCCAGCTGAGTGGTATAGGCATCAGCAAGGCACAATATGAGGCCTTGGGAAACCAAATGAGAATCTGCTCCAACGTGACATCCTAGATAGCATGTCAGATTGACTTTATTTTTAAGATTTATTTATTTGTTTGAAAGGGAGAGAGAGAGAGAGAGAGGGAGGGGGAATCTTCTTCTATTTACTTGCTCATTCCTTAAATTGCCACAATGGCTGGGGCTGGGCCAGGCCAAAGCCAGGAGCCAGGAACTCCTTCTGGGTCGCCCATGTGGGTGGCATGAGGGGCCTTAGCACATGGGCCACCTTCTGCTGCTTTTTCAGGTGCATTAGCAGGGAGCTGGATTGGAAGCAGAGCAGCCAGGACGGGAACTGGTGCTTATATGGAATGCCGACATCACAGGCAGTGGCTTAACTCACTGTACAAAGATGCTGGTCCCAGATTGATTTTATTTTTAAAGCTGTATTCATCAGCTGGATAGCACACAAATGAGATTTGATTTTTTTCTTGGCCATGATTACATAACCCTTGCTTCTCAGTTGAAAGGGAAAAGGGGGAGGGGCTTTAATACTGAACTGTCATTCTAAGGGCTAACAGCAGGTAGCCTTTCCCTGTGACCTAGAATATGCAGATAGTCTGGGCTTGAAGGAAACTGACCTTCAGCTGATATCCATGGAGCCAGGAGGTGAGGTTTTCGGGGGAAAGGAAGAGAAAGAGGAGCAGTCAGTCATGTTCCATTATCAGAGAACTAGAAAGTCCTGTGACTGAGTCAGCAGGGTGAGCTTCATCAGTGCCTACTGCATGCGTCTCCTCTTCTGCTCCCCCACCTCCTTGCTCCTGCTTTTTCTCCTCCTTTCTCTCTGAACCCCTTCCCTCTTTCCTAGAAGGAGCTTTCTGTGTCATTTACTTTGTCTTTATCCTCGAAAAGAGCAGTGACTTGTTGACAATTTTTTCTTTTTTAAGTTAAAAAGGTATCTACACTGTCAGTTTAGTTCTGGTAGAAGCAGAGTGTGATCCTCTTTAGTACAGGCTTTTTTTTTTTTGATATTCAAAACAGTCTTTCAACAGTGTTGCTGTACTTGAGGTGCACCTAGAATCCTCTTTAAGATGATGACTATGACATTCCTTAGAGGTGAGATCATTTCCATTACTCATTTATTAAAACACATGCTCTGTTTGTCTTTTCACACTCATCACAGTGAGATTCAAAATAGATACTCATCATCACCTATTAAAGGGTTATGGGAGCACTGCCTTGAAGAGGCCTGGTGAAATTTGGGTTGAAATTAGAAGTGTCACATCAGCTTCAGAAGCGAGGCATTCACAAACACCAGGCATTGCCTCTGCCCCTGAGCGTGGAATGTGATGGGCACGCCCCTGCCCATGAAGCCAGGTATAACCTCCAGATGAAGCAAAGCAGAAGGGTGGGGACTCCAAGACTTCACAGAATCTACCGAACAGACAAGACACATCAGGGATCCAGAGACCACCCAATATGGTAGACTGGGTTGCTGACCCTACTCTTCATGGCTCCCTGTGTCCCTGCCCTTTGCCAGCCACTTGCAGTCTGTTTCCAGAGGTGGAGGGACTTCCCCTTCTCTAACCCTGGCCTGTAGGCTTGGCCACGTCGCACTTAACTGCAGCTGGTGGGAGGCCAGCAGAAGTTGCAGGTGCTACCTCCAGCCCAAGGCCCTCCGCGTTGTATGCTTCCATTTGCCATCGCCAGAAGAACATGGCATGGCTGGCACCCAGGTCCAGGGCAAGAGGAAGAGGTAAGGCCTAGAGGGCAGATGCAGCAATGGAGCTGAGTCTGGGTCAGCCAAACCCAGCTAGTCTGAAGTCGCCTGGGTGAAAGAAAAGATGACTCCATTGTAAGCACTGGAATTTTCTGAGTAGTCAATGGTTTTTGGAAAATGAGGACCAAGAGGGGCTGACACCACTCCCATGTTCAATATCCCATTCCTTAACTGAGCCCCAGTTAGGAGAGGGGAACTTCAGAACCCTGTCTTCCTGGTTGTACTGGAAATCACAAATAGTTCAGGGATGACAGATGTTGGATTCTTGTGGAAGAAATGAACTTTCTGAGTCTCGTTTGTGCCTATATGCAGGGACAGACTGATCAACACAGGTGTACAAAGACCCACACTTCCGCCCCAATGCAAGATGACTTGAAAGGGCTGTGGGGCTCTCTAGGGGATGAGCTGAAGTGTTGGGTACAGCTATATCCCAACCCAACTTCTCCCTCTGCCCTGGCCTGCTTTCCTTCCCTTTTCACAGATATTGTCCCCAAAGCAGCCCTGAGCAGTCCTCCTGCACATGGATCTCTCAGGCTCAGAGTCGGTCCATGGGGGCTGGTACTGGAGCAGGGGCAGAGGAGGGGCTTACCCACGATCATGTGGTTGCAGACGTCACAGAAAGTGGGCTTCTTGAAGATGTGCTCTTGAAAGGCATGGGCCTTGCCGCTGCTGGGGTGCAGGCCGGCCCTGGTGGGCGTGGACGTCAGGCTTCCTGGAGCAGGGAGTGGGCTGGAGCCGGGGCTGACCTCGGCCAGCACGTCTGCTTGCAGCTTCATGTCGCTGGTGGTTTGCTGGAAGAAGTTGTCAGCACTTTTGCTGCGTAAACTCTTGGTCTTGAAAGAAAGTGATCGTTTTAGTTTCTGGAGCTGCAATGCAATGACAGAACAGTCTCTCTTACGATCATTCATGCAGATTCATGCTGTGGGGGTGAGGTCTGCTCCATGTACTGCACAGTGCCCACTGACACCCTCAGTACCAGGAGGGCTGCTGTATGTCCCTGCGTGGTGGTGGTGGTGGGCTGTCAGTGCCTACTGCAGAGGGATGCAGCATTATCCCCCTGGGCCCCTTGCTGCAGAGCCAGACCCTCGGAAAGAAGGGTGTTCTGCCCCTGCTCCTCCTCAAGTTCCCACCAATGCGCTGTCACTGCACTCATGACACCGTTTTGCCTGTTGAATTTGAATAAGCAGAAATGACGTAGGAATTCATGGGCTCACAGGTTGGCTATAACACGTGGGCCTTTCTTTCTGATAACCATTTAGCAGCCACTTGTCTTTGCACACAGCAGAGCAAAGGAGGCCACTGTATGACTTAAAGTCAATCCAGCTAAACTATCTACAGAACACAAACCATAGACTCTCTAGTGTTTTTAGGTCTAGCAACCTCCCTCTTCCCTGCCCCACTCCCCCACTGTGTGTGTGTATATGTGTGCAAGTGTGAGACCCTGTGTTGAGTTTTCTGCTTGATTTTCCCTGTGTTTCCTGCAAGATCATCCTTTGTTTTTGTTCGTGGGAAACTAGACCTCTTCTCCTTTGCCTCTGGGACTCATGAAGAGGCACCAGAACAGGTCTGGAAAAGCAATAGCTTCTGGAAGGTCTGGGTTTGCCTCCGGCCTACGACTCAACTCTAGTCTTCACGGGGAGCCAGGGGGACCCTTTGGAGACACAGGTGTGAGCCTGTGAGCCTCTTGTTTATAATCCTTCAAGAAGTTTCCTTTGTACTTAGGCTTCAAGGAAAGTTCCTTGGTGTGGGCTCCAGAGACTGGTAGAACCTGGAGACTCTGATGACCCCATGATAGCTTGCACCACTCTCCCCCCTGCCCTGCTGTCCAGACACAGTGGCCTTCAAAAGTCCCCCATATTTACTGTGCTTTGTTGTCCCTAAGCCTTGTGGCACAGTTTTCCCTCTGCCCCCATAAAACAGATGCTGCATGTACTCGCTGCACAGCCTGCAGTGAACAGCTTCACCTTTTCAGTGCCTCTTTGGTGTTGGAATTCCCATTGCCTAAAATGAATGCCTGTGGCTCACAGCTGTAGACAGAGAGGTGTTCCGTATTCTGTTCTGATCAAGGCCTCCATGAAGTGTGGGGAGATTGCCTACACAGTATACAAGGTGGGCTGATGTGTTCTCACTTTGCCCAGCCGCCTCCACCTAATGCCTTACTTCTGCCTGAGAAGACCAGGAAGGTAAGGTGATCATTAGTGCCTGGGGCAGGACATAGAAAAGTCACAGTTTTTTCCCCTTCCCGTTATCCATGCTGCTTTGCAATGTGATTTTGCAGCTGCTCCCATCAAAAGTGAAGCCTGTTTTTCTCACTTCCTGAATCATGTTGGATTGAGGAATTTGACCAATAGAAGGAAGCATAAAGAGTTTCAGGTCAGTATCAAGCACAGGCCTCAAGATGCCTGAGAGATTTCTGACAGCAATTTAGAAACCTGCCAAGCTTTCTTGTGAACAAACCTAAGGTATCTGAGGGATCAGGAGAGACACAGCATCCAGGAAAACCCTCATGGCTCCAGGGAGACCCCAGACCCCGAGCTACCCTGCTGCCCTGCAGGCATAAAGGAGTGTAGAGGAGACCAGAACAGTCCAGCTGCGTCCTGCTCAAATTGTCAGCTCGTCCATTCACCAGCTAAGCCACTACGTTGCACGTTGCACGTCTGTGGTGTGGACATGGCAGCGGAAGACTGATGCAATGCTCTTCTCCCCACCTATATGCGCATAGGGTATTATTGTCATTCTGTGCCCACTTGGAGCTGGGTGGTTGTGTAACACCACCTCTGCATTTCAGGGGCTCAAAGAGTGGCGAGGCCCTGCAGGACCCCCTGGAAAGGCCCAGCCAGGGCCAACAGTGGGGCACCGTCAGCCAGAAGAAGCAGCAACTAAGGCTCTTATCTCTCTCTGCCTTCTGTTTCAAACCTTCCAGAAGAGCCAGGGCTTCTAATAAAAAAGAGGAGGAGGGGTGCATCCTTGAGTGATCTTGGAATCATCGTCACTGTAGCAGATCCTACAACAGCCTGACTGTTCTAGGGGAGCTGTGTCATGAGTCCCCAGAGCACAGCATAGCCCCATGAAAGGGGGCTTTGAAACAGTCTATCATTGGCCACTGAGACTGAGTCCATTGAGGTGGAGACCTGGAAGCAACGAGGAGTAGAACAGAGCCGGCCACAGCCAGTGGTGCTGGGGGAAGGGAGGCTCAGAGAGGAGGCGGGGCTGGCGTTTTATTGTAGCCAGATTTTTAATATACTGAATATGTAAAAGTCACCAGGAAGTTCAGGAACCTGTTAGGATTTTGTCAGGGGATGTGTAACTCAGGGAGAGAGAGGTTTATCAAAGCCAGCGCCATCACATGGGAAAAATAAACTCATGGTCCATTTGCTGCCCGCGGAGTTTAGATTGTTCAATACATTGGCTGGTTGTGTCTGAAATGGAATAACACTTACCCTGATTATAGCCGGGCACTGTTGTGAAGGTCATAGAGGGAAATGTGTGGGGGAGCCCTCCGAAGATTCTATGGGATCTGAATGGATGGAGGATGATGTGGTGAGGGAAGGTGAGTGGGAGCAGGAAGTTGGGATTGGGAATCTAGGATCCGCACATCATTAGGTGATCCCTCTTAATCCTCCCAGTCATTCAAGGAATGTTACTGAGGAAGGTTAATTAACTTGCCTAAGGTCACACAGCTTATCTGAGTCAACCAGGGTCTGAATCTCATGCATGACTCCTTGCCAGCGTGTCTTCAGGGGATGGAGGGGGAGAAGGGGATGAAGAACCTCTAGGGGAAAGAAACTACTACTTCCTGTGGTCAGTGAAAGTAGGCATGGATGTGGAGTGGAAGGCAGATCTTGTTGCTGCTCTGTGCTCCCTGGGGGCATGCACATGATGTGTAGGTATGATGCCCAGTGGTGTATGGCAGGAAATGGTATCAGGTCATTGGCAGAGCCTGCCCACCTGCCTGCCTCTAGAGCTGGATGGAGAGTTTGTTTGGAAGTCAATGGGCCATTTCTTATTCCAGTGGACAATTAAAAAAAAAAAAAATGCCTGCAAGTTAAAGTCCTAGAAAGGACCTGAAAAAAAATGTGCTGTCTCCAGTTATCCCTAGAAGAGCAGAGGCCAGATGGGAACATAAGAAATGCAGAAGGAGAAACAAACCCTGATAAGCACAGCTGTCACACAATGATTGGCTTCCATGCACCACTGCTGCAGCCCAGTTCCATTTTATTTACTGTAACAGTGGTTAAAGGAACAGACATTCTTGAGTACCTCACCATGTGCCAGAAACGATATACTCTGTTTTGTGTAATCATCCTAGTAACCTTTTTAGGTTCATTAAATAGTTATTGGGGAAATACTATGAGCTGGGCACAGTCCTTGATTTTGTGTGATACTGCAGTATTGAAGGCTTAATGAGTAGAGACAGAAAATAATATTATCAAAGAGGTATATACCACACATTTGGATAGGTATGAGGATGCAAGGGGGAATAAAAGCAGAGGCAGGCCTTAGAAGGTGACCTGGAAGACTTCTCTGAAGGGTGATATTTGAGGGGGTCACAGAGGATGTGGTGAGTATGTGAGCTCCGTTGGAGAAGTATGTGATGAGTAGTGGGGAAACCAGAAGTGGACGCCCCAGCCAGAGAGCAAGGCTGGTGAGTCTGAGAAACTCCAGGTATTGGCATGTCTGGAGAAGAATGAGGAGGGAGAGAGGGATAGAGCACAGATGCTATGGGAAGCTTCATGGAATGTCTTGTAGGTCAAAGAACAAGTTTTGAAATTAATCCTAGGGGTGGTGGTTTGAGGCAAGGAAGCAACAGGGTCTGGATTCTATTTTTTAAAAAATATTTATTTATTTATTTGAAAGGCAGAGTTACAGATAGGCAGAGGCAGAGATAGGTCCTTCTATCCGCTGGTTCACTCCTCAGATGGCCACAAAGGCCGGAGCTATGCTGAATCAAAGTCAGGAGCCAGGAGCCTCTTCCAGGTCTCCCATGTGGGTGCAGGGGTCCAAGGACTTGGACCATCTTCTGCTGCTTTCCCAGGCCACAGCAGAGAGCTGGATCAGAAGTGGAGCAGCCAGGACTTGAACCGGCACCCATATGGGATGCTGGCAATGCTGGTGGCCCCGTCTAGTTTCTATTTTAAAAGATCACTTTAGACACCATGTGGGT